CTACAAGTCTGATAATATCAACAAGCTTGTTACAAGCTGTTAACAACTTGTATACAATATTGTTATATCATGACTGTATCGAACTTGTTGGAACAACCTAGCTACAAGTCTGATAATATCAACAAGCTTGTTACAAGCTGTTAACAACTTGTACAATATTGTGATATCATGACTGTATCAGACTTGTTGGAACAACCTTGTTACAAGTCTGATAATATCAACAAGCTTGTTACAAGCTGTTTAAACAACTTGTTCAATATTGTTATATCATGACTGTATTGGACTTGTTGGAACAACATTGCTACAAGGCTGATAATATCAACAAGCTTGTCACAAACTGGTAGCAACTTGTACAATATTGTTATATCATGACTGTATCACACTTGTTGGCACAACCTTGCTACAAGTCTGATAACACCAACAAGCTGGTTACAAGCTGTTTAAACAAGTTGTACAATATTGTTATATTATGACTGTATCGGACTTGTTGGAACAACCTAGCTACAAGTCTGATAATATCAACAAGCTTGTTACAAGCTGTTAACAACTTGTACAATATTGTGATATCATGACTGTATCAGACTTGTAGAGACAACCTTGCTACAAGTCTGATAATATCAGCCAGCTTGTTACAAGCTGTTTAATCAACTTGTACATTATTGTTATGTCATGACTGTGTCAGACTTGTTGGAACAACCTTGCTACAAGTATGATAATATCAACAAGCCTCTTACAAGCTGTTAACAACTTGTACAATATTGTTATATCATGAATGTATCGGACTTGTTGGAACAACCTTGCTACAAGTCTGATAATATCAACAAGCCTCTTACAAGCTCTTAACAACTTGTACAATATTGTTATATCATGACTGTATCAGACTTGTTGGAAGAACCTTGCTACAAGTCTGATGACATCAACGAGCTTGTTACAAGCTTTTTAAACAACTTGTACAATATTGTTATTTCATGACTGTATCGGACTTGTTGGAACAACATTGCTACAAGTCTGATAATATCAACAAGCTTGTTACTAGCTGTTTAAACAACTTGTACAATATTGTTTTATCATGACTGTATCGGACTTGTTGGAACAACCTTGCTACAAGTTGATAACATCAACAAGCTTGTTACAAACTGTTTAATCAACTTGTACATTATTGTTATATCATGACTGTATCAGACTTGTTGGAAAACCTTGCTACAAGTCTGATAACATCAACAAGCTTGTTACAAGCTTTTTAAACAACTTGTACAATATTGTTATATCATGACTGTATCGGACTTGTTGGAACAACATTGCTACAAGTCTGATAATATCAACAAGCTTGTTACTAGCTGTTTAAGCAACTTGTACAATATTGTTTTATCATGACTGTATTGGGCTTGTTGGAACAACCTTGCTACAAGTCTGATAACATCAACAAGCTTGTTACAAGCTTTTTAAACAACTTGTACAATATTGTTATATCATGACTGTATCAGAGTTGTTGGAACAACATTGCTACAAGTCTGATAATATCAACAAGCTTGTTACTAGCTGTTTAAACAACTTGTACAATATTGTTTTATCATGACTGTATCGGACTTCTTGGAACAACCTTGCTACAAGTCTGATAATATCAACAAGCCTCTTACAAGCTCTTAACAACTTGTACAATATTGTTTAATGACTGTATCAGGGACTTGTTGGAACAACATTGCTACAAGGCTGATAATATCAACAAGCTTGTCACAAACTGGTAGCAACTTGTACGATATTGTTATATCATGACTGTATCGGACTTGTTGGAACAACCTTGCTACAAGTCTGATAATATCAACAAGCCTCTTACAAGCTCTTAACAACTTGTACAATATTGTTATATCATGACTGTATCAGACTTGTTGGAAGAACCTTGCTACAAGTCTGATAACATCAACAAGCTTGTTACAAGCTGTTTAAACAACTTGGACAATATTGTTATATTATGACTGTATCGGACTTGTTGGAACAACATTGCTACAAGTCTGATAATATCAACAAACTTGTGACAAGTTGTTTAATCAACTTTTACAATATTGTTATATCATGACTGTATTTGACTTGTTGGAACAATCTTGCTACAAGTTTGATAATATCAACAAGCGTGTTCCAAGCTTAATAGCATTACTATCATTTCTAAACTGTTCTTCCTAGATGTTCAGTAAGGATCATCTCTTATTCATCCAGTGTTACTACAGAACTAAACTAAGTTTATTTATACTGGATAGCTCTATCATTTCTAAACTGTTCTTCCTAGAGGTCAAGTAAGGATCATCTCTTATTCATCCAGTGTTACTACAGGAGGAAACCTAAACTAAACTAAGTTTATTTATACTGGATAGCTCTATCAGTTCTAAACTGTTCTTCCTAGATGTTCAGTAAGGATCATCTCTTATTCATCCAGTGTTACTACAGGAGGAAACCTAAACTAAACTAAGTTTATTTATACTGGATAGCTCTATCATTTCTAAACTGTTCTTCCTAGAGGTCAAGTAAGGATCATCTCTTATTCATCCAGTGTTACTACAGGAGGAAACCTAAACTAAACTAAGTTTATTTATACCTAGCACTGGATCCAAATTAATTCAGTTCTTGGATTGGATCAAAATTAATTCACTCTTTAAATGGTGATTTATTCGTATGAGATGTCATTTCAAATCCTCCATTGGACAAACAAGCTGTTAACAACTTGTATAATATTGTGATATCATGACTGTATCAGACTTGTTGGAGCAACCTTGTTACAAGTCTGATAATATCAACAAGCTTGT